CTATGTTTATAGCAGCACAGTTTGTAATAGCTAAAACTTGGAAACAGCCCATTTGCCCATCAGTTGGAAACTGTATAAAGATGTGGTTTTTCTATAAAATGGAATACTACTCAGCCATAAAGAATGAGAAATTAGATTCATTCATAGGAAAATGGATACATATTGAGGATATACTCCTAAGTGAAATAAATAAGTCACACATGTGTAAATACTGAATAGTTTCTCGGGTGTGAAAAACTATAATAGTACATAAGATCCTAATGACAATGTGAAATAGGAAGAAAAGGGCTAAAGGTGTAGGGGAAGTGGGAAGGGTAGGAGAAAGGTAATAAGGGAAAAGAAAAAATATGAGAAAGTGAAAAAATGGAAATAAAGCATTTGTAAATTGGGGGGGAGGAGAGGGTGAAGGGAGGGCAGGGGCATGGGGAAAAAATGAGAACCAAGACCTGTCATGTAAAGGTACAAGATCCCAATGATGAATATAAATGTACTGTATACCTAAAATGTATCAATAAACTCAATTTTAAAAAGAAGAAAAACATGAAATAATAAGTCTAAATATGAATTTTTTTAAATGAGAAGGGACCCTCGTGTAGAAAATCTCCTCTTGTGAGCCAGCTCCAAGGGGAAAGAAAGTGTAATAGACATTAATTGGTGAAAGAATTGATAGATAAAATATATGAAACAGAGAAAAGTAAACTACATCTTTGGGGAGAAAATCTAATTCCCACAAAACTATATTTATTCTTTCTTGCATTCGGTTGCATCATTTATCTTAAGCCTATGATGTACCAGACACTGAAAAGGAACTCAGGAAATCTCAGTAATTAGATATATGACATCCTGCCCCCATGAAGCATATATCACGGTGGAAAAGACAGCCTGCACTGTAACTACACAACTGCAAGCAGTAGGGGTAGAAGATGCCAGTGATAGGAATTTTGTCCAGCAACTGTGCCAAAAATGAAGTTCACAGTATTGGGAAAATTAGTTGTTTTTTTTCTGTCATTTTGTTTGATAATGTTCTTTTTCTTCCCATGTTTCACTTTCTTGCTATTCACCTATATTCATCAGCGGACCACATTGCTTCCTTTGGCATGAGCATGTACCAGTCTCATGGACAATCTGGCCAGTACACCTTAGAACTGGATGGAGATGAAGAGTTGTACGTGGACCAAGAGAAGCAGCAGACTATCTGGAGGCTTCCTTTGTTTACCACATTTACAAGTTTTGACCCACAAGGTGGACTGAGTGAACTAGCTACTGCAAAACACAACTTGGGCGTTCTGATTAAAAGATCCAATTCCACTCCAGCTACCAATAGTATGTGTTCACCATCCTGCTTCTCTTTATTAAATCGATTCTATCATCCCAAGTTTCACTTCCTTATTCCCTAGTGGTAGATACCCTTCATTACTCAATAAATTCTGTCCTTCCCATGGTGTCCCCTGATCTCATGATAATTGCTGAACTTTAATCTTCCTTCATCTTAAAAATCACATTCTTCCATGTAATGCAAAGAACCTTACTCCCTTAAAGCATTCCTTGGATGTTTCAAAAAAAGGGTCCCACAGACATCCTACCTTAGTCTGCATGCCCATAGGGTGAGGGGCCTAGGGATTAAGTGGAGGCCATGTATAGTAGCTCCCAAGCAGAAAGAAAATAAAAGCATTTTGACTATCATGTGAGCAAATATTGGTTGAAAGGCTTTCAAGATACAGAGCAGATTTCAGGGTACAGCAATTCATAATGTCTATTCTAGGCATTCGTATGAGTGTTATTTCCTTCCTTAGAAGTTCCAGAGGTGACTGTGTTTCCCAAGTCTCCTGTGATGGTGGGTCAACCCAACACCCTCATCTGTGTTGCGGACAGTATTTTTCCCCCTGTGATCAACATCACGTGGTTGACCAATGGGCATCCAGTAACAGAAGGCGTTTCAGAGACCAGCTTCATCTCCAAGAGTGATCACTCCTTCCTCAAGATTGCTTACCTCACCTTCCTCCCTTCTGAAGATGATATTTATGACTGCAAAGTGGAGCACTGGGGCCTGGACGAGCCTCTTCTGAAACACTGGGGTAATTTCAAGTTCTATCCTTTTTTGGTGCCTTCTTGTTCTCTGTAAAGTCCAAAGTGCCCAAAACTTGTTTTCCACTCTTGAAAGGCTTCTAATGATAGTTCTAACGATCCTCCCTAAGATCAATACCCCAAATATTTGCAGAACCAACTCTCAGTCCTCCACCTCAACCCCATCTTGTATACATGCGATACTCTTTGTTCTGACCTCAACAACTTCCATTTTACAGAACCTGAGATTCCAGCCCCTGTGTCAGAGCTGACAGAGACTGTGGTCTGTGCTCTTGGATTGATTATGGGCCTTGTGGGTATTGTGGTGGGCACTGTCTTCATCATCAAAGGCCTGCGCTCAGGTCGTGCCTCCCAACACCTAGGGCCCTTGTGAGTCACAAGGAAAGGTAAGACTCTCTGTTCGTTGGAGCTGAATCCACTCTATGGGGGAAAGAAAAGAGGAGGTGGTTAGTGATACAGAGTCCGTTAAAACGGTGTGTGGGGAATGTAGCGTGGCATGGGCAGCACAGGAGCCTTTGGCACCAATTGATCTCATATCTCTTTCACTGCAGGTACATTTCCCATCGCCATGAGCAGAAAACTGAACCTGCGAGATGGCCTGGCTCTCATTTCTAGCCTACTTCATTGTATTCTGTATGCTCTCGAAATACCCCACATCTCACTTCTCCAGACCCTAAGGTGCGGTGTACCCTCAGAGATCACGTGTCCCCAAAGTTCTCCCCCTGAAAGCTCAAATTTTTTTCTCCTATGTTACTTGCTATGGATTCCCTGGGATAACTGACCAGCTACCCAGACCCTCAGCGACTCTGATCCAGTATTTGCATGGAAACAATAAATCTCCATTTATGTGGCCTTTGTTGAATTTTTTTTTTTATTATTCATCTCAAGGGTCACTGGGACTGTGGCTAAGAATCAGTAACCTTTATGTTTCAGGCTCATACAATCTCATTCCTTGGGTCATGTTAATGCTCAGTAACATCAAAGCAACCAAATAAAGCATGATGATATTTTGATATCTTACCCAAGATTAACATGTTTCTTTTCCTGTTATTCTCAGCTTTGACCATTGCTATTCACTTCTATTTCAAGCAACAATTAAGGTAATACATGACCTCTTTTCTTGGTGTACACCTATTCTAGCAGGAAAACAACAAAAAAAGTAAATAACATTATACTCAATATACCTTTTAAAAGTGATAACAGATAAATACATTAAGGAAAAGGATCTTTGAATCTAAAAGGTGCCAAAAATAATATCTCTGTGCCACCACCATGGCAGGACATCTCGGGGTACATAATCCTAAAGTGAGGTCACTGAATCCTTTGTGAATCTGTGGGTGTCCTGGAAGCAGGAATACACCCCAATATTATCATCCCTCCCTCTCCTAGCACAGGAAAGTGTGAAGCTATGGAAGAGAAATCCTAGGAGGGACATCACTGTAGCAGCATGTGTGGTTCTGCGTCTCCTGGATTCGCTGTCACCCAGTGGAAACATTTCCAGAGGAAATGGGTTGATAGTATTCTGTGGCTCTCCTAAGTATATCTAAGGTCTCAATCTTGAGGGTGTATGGCACCTAAGTTGGAGATATTTGCCTTTGAAATTGTTTTAGGAACAGTTAGTGTTTCTGCTGTGCAACTACTGAGTCCTTGCAGTAGATCCAGTATGATTTTATAGAACTGCTGTAAAGGCTATGAAAGTATTTCTGTTCATGCTATCTATATCAGTGAGCTCAAAATGGAATTGTGGGAAAATATGCAAAACATTAACACAGTTATTGATGCAGCATAGTTTAGTGTGAAGAAATGTAAGTCCAGGACTCAGAACTTTATATCTAGTCTTTTAAACTTTATAACATTAGGTCAAGTATGTAACACTTCTGAACCTTATTTTTCTCATCTACATTACTGGAATGATAACGCTGTCCTTGCAAAGTATATATGGTCCAAGCCAGTGTTGACCATGAAAATTTATATTACAGAGGAGAGAGGATTTTAAGGGAAATAAAACTGTATTGATACTATAATGACTGATACATGTCATTGGGCAGTATTCAAACTCTACAGAATATAAAACACCAAAAGTTAATTGTAATGTAAACTATTGATCTAGAGTGATGTATCAATATGGATTCTTTAATTATAACAAATATATCATTCTGATGGAAAGATTTTAATCAAGGAGGAGCCATTTGCAGATGTGGAGGCAGAAGAGATATGGGAAATCTCTGTAAGTCTGATCCATTTTCCTGAGAATCTAAAACTGCAAAAAAAAATGTATTAATTAAAGAAAAATTTTAAATATCAAATATGTAAAAAAATTAGTATAAAATAGAGGTCACCTGAAAATATACAAATGTGCTGAGGTTTTGTAAAAGGACTTCAAGCAAATTTTATATAAATTTCAATGATTAATGAGGCAAGAACCAAGCATTTTGGAAGTACATGCATGTGTGTGTGATATAACAGATATACTGAATAGCGTTAGAACCAAAGTCATATTAAAAATATTAAAATAGTTCTATATTCAGTCTTTCATCATAAAATCTAGTGGAAAGCAAATTAAATAACTGTATTTTTAAAATATTCATAGTCTATATAAAGATATATTCATAGTCTATATAATTTTTAAATATCAGAATTAAAATTAATTCTAAAAATTGAGTAAACATTTCTTTCTATCAGCTAAAAGTTCAAAGTGGGATTATCATATGACATTACTTACAGTTGTAAATCAGCCCCATGATTTTAGATTATGTTATTCTTTAAATTATTTGAATTATTTCAGAGTATGCACATAACATATGGCTGGTAATATTTCATTTCACACTATTTTAAATTAACATAATTGAAATTTACAAAAACGATTGCAGGTTTATATTTATGAACTATAAACTAACATTTGAAAAATTAAATTTTTTTACAAATAAAGCACTTCAAGTGTAACATGGCAAAAGTAAGCTATAATAAATGCTAATGACTAGAATTATTATTTTCTGAGACCCAAGTCTCTGCAAGAATGTAACAACCAAAATCTAGAATATAGGAGGTTCTTCTAGATAAATAATCCAGTTTTGTCAGCAAACAGCTTGCAAGAAAGGAAAGAAGAAGAATGAAGGGGGGGCGAGGCATGGTGGCTCACACCTGTAATCCCAGCACTGGGAGGCTGAGGCAGGAGGATCACTGTGAGTTTGAGGCCAGCCTTGGCTACATAGTGAGTTCCAGGTCAGTCTCAGCTACATAGTGAGACGCTGTCTCAAAAAAAAGAATGAAGGGGGAAGGGGAAGAAGAAGAGGAGGAGGGAGGAAGAAGGACAAGAGAAGGAGGACATAAATGAGGGGAAGGAGGAGAGGAAATAGGGAAGGAAAGGAAAAAAGTTGGAAAGAGAATAAAGGAAGGAGAAACCACTTTCAAAAACTTATGAACTATATTAACCAAATGTCAGATTTTGTTTACATTTATATTCACACAAAAAAACTGTTAATTTTTTAAAAATTATTAAAAATCCTTAAGAGGCAATCAGAAAAATTGATGCTAAATGTATGAAGGAATTATTTAAGTAATCTTAGTTGTGGTAATGGTATTGATGTCAGTGCATGACCAATTGGCTCTGATCCTTTGGGCCTATGGTGAGAAAACACATCATGGTGGGAGCATATGGCAGGGAAAAATTTTTACCCCACGGCCTAAAAATAAAAGAGAAAAATAAAAAAGAATCCCACAATCCCTCTACCACAGGACCCACCCCTTAAAGGTTCTACCACCCAGTAGTGCCAAAGCAGTGACTCACGTTCCAGGTCCAAACTATAGTGAAAATTTTAAATGTATTTTGAAATAAAATAAACAGTATATGGTATATAAAGGACTAGCTTGAGGAGGGCGCAGCAAATGTTTAAGAAAATCTTGTGAGGTAGACAGTGGAACCACTGAGCTAAATCGCTGGCTTGTCTAGTAAACCTCTATGAGTTTTTTGTTGGAAGCTGGATAAAGAAGATGTGGTTTTTTTATAAAATAGAATATTACTCAGCCATAAAGAATGACAAATTAGATTCATTCATAGGAAAATGGATATATATTGAGGATATACTCCTAAGTGAAATAAATAAGTCACACATGTGTAAATACTGAATATTTTCTCTGGTGTAAATAAACTGTAATAGTACATAAGATCTTAATGAGATAAATGGCATTGTGAAATGGGAAGAAAAGGGCTAAAGGTGTAGGGAAGGTGGGAAGGGTAGGGGAAAGGTAATAAGGGAAAAGAAAAAATGTGAGAAAATGAAAAGATGGAAATAAAGTGTTTATAAATAGGGAGAGGGGAGGAGAGGGTGAAGGGAGGACAGGCACAAGGGGAAAAATGAGAAGCAAGACCTGTCATGTAAAGGTACAAGATCCCAATGATGAATGCAACTGTACTGTACACCTAAAATGTACCAATAAACTCAATGAGGAAAAAAAAGAAAATCTTGCAATAAGAGATTAGACTAAAAATGAAAACTTTGACAGATTTAGTAGAAAATGTTTGTATAAAAACAAACAAGTTATTTGAAGTCTTTTTAATTAGAATTCTTAGAAATGAAAAGACATTGCATCTCTTTCAATAATAGTAGAGTGGCAAATAAGATTGGAAAATGTAATAGAAAAACCTCACTAAAATCTAAAGACAAGGAAATGCAATACATAGTTTTAAGACACAGAATAGACTGAGGAAGTTTGACATCAAGTGACAAAATAAAGAGAAATGTTTGCAAAACATATACAGAAAGGAGAAATTTTCAGAATACAGAGAATTTAATTCTTCATAAAGAATGGGACTGTCAGGTATTTAGCAAAATTAATGAAAAATAATTGTTTTCAAATCTATCATTTTAAAAATCTCAGAACTTCACAGGTTAAAGGAACATCATAAATTCCAGTGAGGAAAAGCAAAGCAAAATAGACAATAGGCAAAAGTCAGAATTCCAGATGCTTTTATCATTAAGATAATTAGAAAAACCTTGGAGTTCTAAAGGAAAAAATATTTTAAATTAACAAATGTATGCATTTCCAAAATAATAATCAGGCAGAGAAAAAGAATAAAAATACATGTGAAAGGATGTAGAATTTACCTACCACACATACTTTTATTGAAAGTTCATCAAGATATGACCCAGTAGGGCAAGGCTGTTAATCAGGAAATGGGAAACCTAGGAATTCATGAAACCATGAAGTCAATCCAGGATGAGAATAAAAGGGATCCCATAGTAGTGGTTACACGGCAAACTAAGAACATTTGACTACACAAGGGACATTTATAAGGTAATAAAAATATTCTTAAACTTTTATAATTAAGCTATAAGCAAAGTACAATGACAATGATTGGCACAGCAGAATGTCAGTATTTTTTGGCTTTAAGAACATGTTTTAGGCAGATGCTTCAGTTTGGTAAATAAAAAAAGTTTCATTGTCTCCTCACAAAAAAAAAAAAAGAAAAGAAAAGAAAAAAGGAAGGAGGTGAATCCCCCAGACCCAGGATGGATCTGAAGGAAAAATTGGAACCCACAGAGAAAGTAAAGAGACAGACCACAATGCAGAAAAAGGAGATGGCAGACTGTGCTTTCTTGCTGGCTCCCAGCTAACAGTATGAGACAGAAGGCTTGAATCTAGAGAGATGCAGTGAGAGCCAGTTATGCCAGAGGCCTCTAGGGAGAAATACACCAGTGGAAAGGAACGGTGGATGCCGTACACTACAACAGCTAATGAGTAACTCCAACCCAAGAATCTTCCATGTCCCACACAGAGGATGCGCTATGGTTTATATCTAGATGTCTCCACAAAGCCTCGTGTGGTCATAGGACTTTTCAGAGATGGCTGAATAGAGTGTGTGAAGATGGGATTAAGGATGTGTGATTATTAAATCAGTCCATTGATTGGTTTGGTGCAGCCCTGATCCCGGTAATCTGGAGAAGATAAAAGGGGCAGAAAGATGCTATTAAGGTCCTTTGATACTTTTACTACCTTTGGCTGCCATG